TTAGCATTTTAAACAACGTTGCAGTTTGTACTAAATTAAGCTTCTAGCCAACGTCGGTATCCAACGTCGTTTCGACCCAAAAATGATTCTCCAAACTAGTGCAGACTAGGGTTGGCACGAGGTTGTGCCGACATTGCACCCCGACGTTTGGTCGCGTGACACAACGTTGTCCCGACATCCAAATGCTGCTTGGGAAGCTTGGTATCCGATAATTTTGTAAATCAGGTCCGAGTTGGGTTAAAAAAATACACAAGTTGATCGACCAATCGAGTTGTACCGTGTGGAGAGGTATTACCCAAGTAACATTTTTAGACACAAAATCGAAACAAAATCCCTGCTGAGAAACATTGCGAAACAGTTTCGTCACATTTCTGATACATATTATGTTTTGTAACATAAATCGTTTTTTGTTTCGAAACATTTTACCAAAATATGGTTTCACTACATAAGTTATAACAATAAAGACCTTATAGTGTCACAAATTTTTCGAAACTTTTGAGTGACAAATGTGGCTCCCATTTACAGACTTCGTACCCGTTCTGTGCCTGAAAAGATTCCGTAATTTATTTGATATTCTGTCAAATATAAAAACAAAGCCTTACTTTTTTGTTTGGATTTTGTTCTGCAGTTTTTGCATTTAATCATTCAGGAATTTTTTTATTCGCAGGAAGGACATATAATCAGTACAAATACATACCTATATTTTTCTTATGCGATTTTATAATTATTTATTATACGCATTACAGAGATGATTTGTTTTAGGAATAAATGTAATAACAGCCACTACCCATTCTCAACTAAAAACCGAAGAAAAATGTTGTGATAAAACGTTTTTTTTTCTCTCTTTTTTCTACAATGGTATACATGTTTTTATATGTTTTAATTGTGTTATAATAAGTAAATAAAAAAGTTTTAATTATTTTGACCAGTTTTGATTGACGTTGTTGACAGGTGACTGGTTCGAAATTTCTACACAGATAGCGCTAAATCGAAACATTTTGTAAACAAGGTTTCCATTTATTGTCGATTCATTTTCGAAACACGAGTTTCTCTCTTTTTAGACACAAATATGATATAATGTAGGTAATTTGTGTCCGACTCCGTGTCAATTTTATAAAATAATGAATTAAAATTCCGCCATGCTGGCTAGTGATACCGTTTTTAATTAAAAATATATGTTTTTATCGGCTGTTGACCTTTTAAACTCATAAGAACGCGTTCTGATTACATTGATTTATATATTTTTATTTTCTGAACGTTGATATAGAAGTAGAAATAAAAATCTATATGTAAAAAAAATATGTTGTAGCAACAAATAATGATATACCTATCGGTAAAACCTAAAAATTCAAATTAGAGATTTTAAGGTTCTTTTCATTTTGAAATCCACACACAGACATACACTCTTTTAGTTTGGTATTTTGTTTCTTCACATTTAATAGCGATAGCAGCAAATTAGATAGCAATTTAACAATGTTCGTATCTATTACGGTTACCGAGATACCAATGCTCGTACCTCGAATTTGTAGCACCCTGTATACATACGGGAGTTATTATTATATTTCAACTCCAGGAACACATCTATGAGTTTTTTTCGCGAAAAGAATTGAGAATTCGAATAATGACAAGACAAATGATATATGTCTAAAAAAGACAGCGTTTTAGAGTGACAATTTGGTTATATAAAATTTAAAGTGAAAAGTTGATTATGCTAAAGGGATACATATTCTATGAGTTTACTGGTTTCCTTAACGATTAACATTAATTTAAAAATAAATTCCCAACATGAATAATGAACCGAACATTTAAACAAAAACAGACCACAGACTACACAAAACAAATTGTTGGTTAGTAGCATTTAGTAGTAGTCAGAGATATAGATGTAGTAGTATTTTGGTTTAATGGCCACAGCTATCCGGCCGGGTGATAGAGTTATCGTTTTTTAATAAAAATTAAAAAAAACATTATAAAATTATAAAGCTAAAATAGTATACGGTTTTATATTAACTAAATTTTTTTTGAAGTTTATAAAAACCATTCGTAAAAGATATATATATATATATCCCTCAAATCCTTCAATTTTATAGCTGTTAGTAAGAAGTTTCACTTCAAATATGCGCACATAGTGCACACACAATTTTTTTTAGTGTATTATGTGATCTTTGTAGATTGTAGCTATACCTAAATTCTTTAGGATACAAAATGTTAGATTAATCAAAATAAAATTTATTTCCATTCTAAACAACTTAAATCGATGATACTTTAAAATGTCGACAAAGGGAGCGCTAATACTTCGATAAAATCGAACATCTTTCAACAAATAAGCCATAAATCTTGGAATATCGCAATTCTCTAAATATTTAACAGGTGGATAAGTATCTTCTGATTTTCTGGTCTGTCTGTTAATCTTTTTCGGCGCCATGATACGAAATTTACTCACATTCTGCTCCAGTAAAGCTGTATTTATTTTTTAAATATATGTATTTCGTATTCGACATATTTTAATATAAAATAACGTCTTTATACGTTCGGTAAATAGCGAATTTATTGTTAGCCAAAGATTTAAGTAGAATTAACTTCAGAAATGTTAGGTTCTGGCTGTTAAATGATTACGTATGGATAAGTCTAAAATACTCAATGTGTTAAAGTTTAAATATACCTATGTAGTAACTCCTTTTCCCAATGTGTTTTGAGACAATATTTTATTTTTTTTTACCATTTTACTATCCCTACTCACAGTACTTCAGTACCTCGACGAGATAGTCTTAGTGTTCTTCACTGAGTTTCCATTGCCACTAATAAAATTTCGAAAGCAGCAAGAGACGTGGCAACACCGTGAGGACTGCGCTACAGCTCGAAGACTGTGGCCAGTGGAAGATAGGAAAAATACAAAACAACTATTAAAGCACAAAAAGAACCTAGTACGCATAATTGTAGGTGTTATCACTAGAAACTGCCCCACGGGGGTAAACGTCGTGAGATGGAAGATTTCCAACGACAACTACATGCGGAGAGGAAAAAGAAACCATAGAGCATCTGCTGTGCCACTGTCCGGCACTGGAATACCGACGCTTTAAAACTTTAGGGCAAGGTTTTTTGGGGGACTAGAGGAAGCAGCAGAAACCAACATCAGCGACATCCGGAACTTTGCAAAGAGCTGAAAGTGTTTTAACTCAAAGAAAGAATGAGAGGAAGGTTTGGTACAATAATAACGGGGGTATCACAATGGGCCCAAGGCCTCTGAGTGGAGGATCAAACAGGATCCCAAACACCAACAACCTAATTACCTAACCTTAAAAGAATTTCGAACTCCCATTTTGTCCATTTTAGTTAACTTACCATACCAGACTAAAGGAATTTATTTACCGTCAACTGTGAGGGTGTTCGCAGCGTAGCCATCATATGGTGCGTTTGATAAGTAGTTTCCAAATTGTGGAAATTTCCCCACTTTAAAGAGATGTTATTGTTTTTTGATATAAAATCGGGTTCTTTAATTTTACGTTTTTTCTAATGAGATTCCTCGTGGACAACTCAAGCTTTTGGCCACTTTATGTTGTACTGCTTAGATTACACACGCGGTCTAGAATACTTGACTTCATTGTTTCACGTCTTTGTACAGGGTGAGTCAACGATAGAATAAATTCCGTTATCACATTGCTTCAGATAATATCACAGGGTGCTTCAAAAAATTGTGGCGGATATAACATATGTTTTTTTAAATGCAATACTGTGTTTTTTATTTAATTTTTAGATTCTGCGTAAAATTCTATAACTTACACTAATAAATTATTTATACTCTCTCGATACTTAACTCACTACCGATATTTGTAAATCTGGGAAGCTATCGTACCGGAACTTTTAGATATTCCTTTAGGTAATTTATGTGAAATATACTTTCAGCAAAATGGGGCTCCCCCTCACAACTTTGAAAACATTAGAATTTTAGTTTTAATTTAGTTAAATTATTATTTCTCAAACCAATGAATTGGAACAAATGGCGCATATGATGGCCTCCCTGATTCCCGGATTTGTCCGTTCGCGATTTCTGATTTTAGGCATTTTTGAAATATGAAATATATCATGGCAACTTCAACAATGTCGGGCAACTGGAAAATGCTTAAATAACGCAAGCGTTTAGAATTTGCAAATAACCCATCCCGTAATAATAAATTCCGTTATAAAAAAAAAGAAAAACATATTCAGAGATTCAGTGGTAACAGTTCAAAAGTAAAATATATCAATCCCAAGTAAAATGTTAATATGTGTATGACTATTTTACTAAATACCATTTGATTTTCTGTTATTTATCAGGGCCTACTAATAAGAAAATGATGTAGGTATTTTAAATATGCAGTAAATAGTGAAAATAAATATAGAGTGATATATATTTTTGAGAAGCTCATAGCAAGTATTATTATTTTTTTTCTCGTTAAAAACAGACTACGCCACTGTATTCTACGTAAAAAGTTCTACAAGAATCTATTTTCACATTCTCGATATCATCCACAATAATGGAGATATACGAGAGCTGTCCCAAATTGCCAAATTTTCAAAAAGATCCTGTAGCTCAGAAACGAAGAAGGCTATGAAAATTTTGTTTACAGCATCTTTCGTTTCAGGTTTGTGCAAACCGCATCCTCCGATCTTTACTAATAATGGAGATATCGTCTGATTTCAACCAAAATGAGACACCCTGTACAGTGTGTCCCATTTTGGTTGAAATCATACGGTATCTCCGTTATTCGTGAAGATAGAAGGGTGCGGTTCGCACAAACCTGTGCCACTTTTTTGTCAAACGGAAGATGCTGTCAACAAAATTTTCATAGCCTTCTTCATTTCTGAGCTACAGGATCTTTTTGAAAATTTTGCAATTTGGGACACCCCTTGTATCTCCGTTATTGTTAAAGGTATCGAGAAGGTGAAAACTGTTTATACACTTATATATTTTTAACTGGTTTGAAGAGTAATAATTTTTTGTCCGAACCTGTATAAAACACAGGGGAACTGTTTACATTTTATGCGAATGCCAACATCCTATTGTTATTGTTTGTTATGTTGCCAAGTCTACCGGAGATTTGTCAAAGCCTTTGTTTATTTTTAATTTTGTATACGTATACTTTGGGGAAATCTTAAGAAAATAATAATATAATTAGAGCTTACTACATTTGAAAATTTCGATATTTATAATTTTATTTAGTACTTAATAAGATTCAAGTCAAAGATTACAAGAAATATTTGTAAATTTCGTCATTTTTACATCAACCGTTATGATTAATTTTTAATCTGGCAATGCCGCTCTGTTGTTATAGTATTTTCTATAGTAGGGGAATTGGACCAATTGGACGTGGTCAACAGTGTTAATAAACAGCTGATTGGCAAGATCAGCTTTTATTTTTCCATATTTCTTAACTATTAATAAACTATTAGTGTATAATTGTTTCATTTTATATAAAGGACTAAAATTAGCATTTAAAATGGGTCTACACTGGGAAATATGTAAGAATTAAAGAATTTAAACATCGTGAAGTGTCATTTCAAAAGTAAGTACTGTTCTGTGGTAATGCAGCATTTCCTTTTATTTACCTATTTGTTAATATTTGTTTTATAATATAATATATTATGTATATTATAAGAAGTAATGTTTATATTTTTGTTACAATATTGTCCGAATCAAAATCGTATAGTTGTATTTAATTATGAATACAAATAATTGGTAAGTTACATAAATTATAATTGGTATGTTTACATTTATAAAAAATAATGCCTATTTACGTTTTGTATTACTAAGATAAATATTTTATTTCAGATTTCTAAAAGATAGTGAGAGAAAAATTAAATGGTTTTCCCTGTTAAGATTTATTCATAGCATGATATTAAAAAGTCGAGCAAAAGAGAGCTCAAAAACAGCTGATTGTAAGGAATTGAAGAAAATATTTAAAAACTGATGAATTTTCACAGCCATTTATGTCGCGATTTATGGTGTTTCAACTGTTTTAACATCACCTAGGAAATTAACATTAAGACTGCATTAAGATATTAGGATCCTGCAGATAACTAGATAAGAAGTATGATCTTGTTAGCATACCTATTCCGTCATAATATGTAAGTACATATATATTTACAGTTTATTTTTTTAGTATAAAATATTACTATATACTAATATGTATACACAGATTCAAAGTGTACATGGTGGTGCCTTTCATACAATACGAAGGTTTCAAGGATTTTTGTTGGAAGTTTGTATTGAAATGAAATTTTGAGAACATATGGAGGGTTCAGAAGTCAATCAAGTTAAGGGTGGCTGCAACGATGTCCCATAATCCTGCGGTTAAAACATATCAGCTAGTTTTTATATATAAACACCAATTGTTTTGTTTTAACAGCAGGATTACAGGACGTCGTTGCGGCCACCCTGTCAGTCATACAAATTCACTTTCATTTCCCTTGAAGCCTTCACGTCCTATGAGAGGCGCCACCCTATATATAGATTTGTATATATTATATTAATATTATTTTTCTAAAATTACACAATAGTTGTATAAGATCTCACCACCAAAAAAAAAGTGTTAGGCTTGGCTTTGAAAGCAAGATTTATGTCATTTTATACAATGTAAATTTATATGGTGAATGTCATTGATTGTCAATTTTATTTTTATTTTGCTCACAATGTATTCTCAATGTAGATATTTATATTCACCAACTTCATGTTTATATTTTCTTTTAGGAAGTGAAGATATTCATGGTGTGGAAGTTGTTACTTTAATTACATAGTGCATATGAAATTGGTCCTTTACATCACATTTAAAATCGACGTAATGCTACTATGCAAAATAGTGAGAGATGTGAACCCTAGGGAGAGCCAACTGGACGCCGTTTTTTTTGATCATAACAGTATTTATGTCTTATTATTCATATTTTATAAAACTAGAAATTTATGATGTATACTAATTATTATACATACTAATTAATGTAATATTTAATAATTATGTAATAAGTTAGTAGTTATTAGTAGTAATAAGTTAATAAACCATACGATCGAAAAAAAACGGCGTCAAAGGCGACTGGGGAATGAAAATATGATAATTTCAGCGTGGTCAAGCCCTAGACGACATTTTCTTGGCTCAAACTATTTTTTAAAGGCGCTCTAAGGTAATGTAATTAATTTTTATATTAAATAAAAATGATTTTTAAATGGTGTAGTTTAAGATTGACCTCGCTAAATTATCAATCGTCATTCCCAGCCGTCTTTCACGCCGTTTTTTTTAGATTATTTGCTATAACTATGTTATTTGTTATGCAAATATGTTAACACAAAAAGCCAATGAGAAATTGGTTTCTGCTTGGATCCTTACAGTGGCATTTAACAAAATATATATTTTTTTCAGGCTACAATATTTTATTTAATATGAACCTGTAAATGTAGTAAGAATATTATACATATATTTTTTACTTAGTCCCTAAATATATATTTAAAATACAACACTTGTTTTTTTATTAATATCGTGTTATGATTAATACCTAATTAATGTAAAATTATATGATATGTAAATATCATTACATTGAGAATTCGTTTGGTCAAAATATTAGTCATAACAAGAATTTATTTTGTCATGAGTTTTTAGCCCAGAATCATATAAAATAAATGAATTTTAAAACTACAGAACATTGTTTTTTTTGTTTTTGTGCTAATATTTCTAATTAAAATTACCGAATATATTTTACGGTATAGGTAACCAGACCTATCGTTGTTTATTATGGTATAACTGGTCTGAAAGCTCCATGCTACAGAAAAGATGAATTTTGTGCTTTTTCATTATACTATATTAATTGTATTATTAATGTATATCTACTGATATTCAATATAAAAATTAGTTGTTCACATGTATCTACTTTTCTTTTGTAATTAATATTATCTAAATAACAACACATCTTATATAATAGATCCATTAACATTATAGTTTATCAATCAATATATATATATATATATATTATACGATAATACGTACCTATAATATCTTTTAATTATATCTAACTTTTAATTATTGAATATTTAATAAACACATTTTTTTATAGTGTTTGTCAAATATTTTATAGCATATATTATGTATTTATAATAATTTATTAGTTTTATTGCATGAACACATTTTTAAAATTTATTATTAAAAAAATATTTTATCTATGCCTCTAACCACCTACTTCTATATCTCTGGCTTTTACCAGCTTTTACTCATCAATGAAATCTCAAGGATAAATTCTGTTTTGATGCTCTTCTGCTTCGAATCTTAGAATTCCCCTACCACTTTCCTCTTTACCCCGCTGTCCATAAACTAGGGTAGTGGGGGCACTAACCGATAAAACGATGTAGGCACCTCGATTTTGTGAATTTATGAATGACTTGCTCTATCTATTTTTATTGTTAATCTAAGGTATAAAACTACTGAGTAGAGGAAAGGGTGGTAATATGGAACCCTGCTGGTAATACGGGACCCCCCCATAAATAAGGATTTAGAAACGCCATCTATGATTTGTTCACCAAAACTTGATTATTACGTTCCGAAAAGCCCACAGGAAGGTTTCTATCGCCTAGTATTTTACTGTGGTCTATTAATTCGAGGTTATGCTTTGGCGTCAAAATCAAATGTTATTTGTCTCTGCTTTTCACAGCCATAAAGCGATTTGTGGTGAATTTATTCGTTGATTTTGTTCATTAAATCTTGAAAGTGTTGCCTAATATCGAGTTTTGAAAGGTAAGCTTTTGTTTATTTAGATGTCCAAGAAAAAAAAATAAATTGATTATTAGCATGTGCTTTTTTGGAATATGGAACCCCTTGCTTGCTGTTAATATGGAACCTGGGTCCATATTATATACAAGGGTTCCATATTATATGCAGATTTATAATTGACCTGAGTGTATAAATTGGAATGGATTGTTGCAGATTGCACTATGCCCCGAAGTTCATTATCCCCGAAAGCAAAGGGCAAAAGGAAAACATGGGACAAACAAGCAATGGCCGAAGCTGTGGAAATGGTGCGTTCTAAGAAAATGGGCCTGAAAAAGGCTGTAAAATTGTATAAGGTGCCAAAAAGCACTTTGCAAAGACTAGTTCACGACACCGAATATTCACCCGAACAAGTTGTCGAAAAAAAGTTAGGTAGAAAACCCGTTTTTTCTACTGAAATTGAACAACAACTAGTCGAATACCTGCTGCTGATGGAAAGCAAATATTTTGGGCTTACCCGCAGAGACGTTAAAGTAATGGCCTATCAATTGGCTGTACGAAACGGAATAAAGCATCCGTTTGGGAATAAAGAAGAAGCAGGTCGTGCTTGGCTGGATCATTTTTTAAATCGTCATAAACAAAGATTGTCTATCCGAACACCAACTGGAACATCGTATGCTCGGGCGAACAGTTTCAATAGAGAATCTGTAGCTAAATTCTTTGATATCCTCGAGATGGAATACGAAAAGAAAAAATATACGGCTGACCGCGTTTTTAACGTTGACGAAACGGGATTGTCTATAGTTCAGAAAAAATACCTAAGGTAGTTGGGTCAAAAGGGAAACGGCAGATCGGTGCGCTGACGGCTGCTGAGAGGGGATCACTAGTGACCACCATTTGTGCTATGAGTGCTTCCGGCATATTTGTTCCCCCTATGCTGATTTTCCCAAGGAAAAATATGACTGAAACTCTGATGAGAGGCGCACCTCTCGGAAGTATTGGAAAATGTCATCCATCTGGTTGGGTGCAAAGCAATTTATTCACTGATTGGTTTAGGCATTTCATAAAATACACGAAACCAACAATAGATGACCCTCTTCTACTTATCTTGGACGGACATTATAGTCATACAAGAAACATGGAAATAATAGAACTAGCTAGAGCAAACTACATAACCATAGTATCCCTTCCTCCGCACTCCACCCACAAGTTGCAACCCTTAGATAAGACTTTCATGGGAGCTCTAAAAACCCACTATAGTGAAGAGATTCGTATATGGTTGCGTCAAAATGAACGTCCTTTGGGTCCTTGATGAATGCCGAATGATATTTCGAAATGATATTGCCGAACTTTTTGGGAAGGCATATTTAAAGTGTCAAACTGCAAGTATTGCTATTAATGGTTTTTTAAAAACTGGATTATTTCCTTGCAATAGAGGAATTTTTACGGATAACGATTTTATAGCAGCTGAGCATGAAGCCGTGATGGCTGAAAGTACTACAGCTCAATTCTATCATACTAGAGCAAGTCCACCAACAACTACACATCTATGCCCTTTCAATATCAGTGAAACTGATCTGGCAGAAGCAGGTTGCAGCCCAGCGCAACCCTCGACAATCTCGAGTAACTCCTTTGTTTCCCCTGTGGTTATTGGGCCGGTACCAAAGCCAAAGAGAAAAATGTCGAATAAAGGACGAAAGGCCACTTCAGCTGCAGTAATTACAAGCTCTCCATATAAAACAGATTTGGAGAATTCGCTCTCGTCGAAACCAGGTAGCACAAAAAACATTTCGAGTCGTCAGTCTCGTGGGTTCAGCACGGATATTGTAAAGACTAGCGGTAAGCGATCAACTTTAAAACAATCTGAGAAAACGGCGCTTAGCCTCAAAATTAGTTCAAAGAGAATTCAAAGAAAAAGAAAGATTTCGGAATCCTCTGATTCAGATGAATCGGTTCACGATGGCACAGTTACTTCAAGTGATATGGAAAGCTCAGTTGATAACATATCTTCCAGGACAGATGATGATGCTGAGTGCATATTCTGCTCACAACGATTTTTGGAAGACAGGAAAGGAGAAAAATGGATCCAGTGCCTTATGTGTCAATTATGGGCACTTGTTCTGTGTTCTGGTTGTGAAAAAGCCGACTGGGTCTGTGATTTTTGTCAATAAGTTTCGTTGATTTGAATTATTTTTTGTTAATTTTGCATTTTTTGAATATAGTGAATAAATATCGCTACAATTTTAAATATATCTGGTTTATTATAGGGGGTTCCATATTATCAGCTACTTTTTACAGTTAGATAATTTGTACTATTTTATATTATTAGTTAATTATGAAAAAACTTTAAGCATTATTTAAATTCCAAAAACAAATAATAATTCTAAATATATTAGGCATACATGAGCGATATATTTGAAAAATAATTGATGATAAATTTTTGAGTTATCGAATATAAACAAACAAGGGTTCCATATTACCACCCTTTCCTCTAACAAAATATACATTTACGACGTTGTTTACGTAAAAAACATATCTTGGTAAAAATTGCTACGAGTAATGGTTCTGGTGATATTTGGAATCGAAATTATCAACACCTGCAATCATTGACATAAATTAAACATGTTGACCAAATAGTTATTAGACTAAAATGATAAATTTGAAATGTTTTTGTGTCAAAAGTTCAACAGAAACTGTTTTATCATCATTTTTTCGCATAAAATTTCTGATTAATTTAAATAAATAAAAATTTCCCAAATTTATTATTTCAGTCAAATAACTATCTACTCAACGTGTTTATTTTTTGTCAATAATGACAGTTATTGACTATTTCCATTCTAAATATCTTGAGAACGGTTGCTCGTAGCGATTTTTGCCAAGAGACATTTTTTACGTAGAAAGTCACGGAAATATATATTTTTTCATTCAGCGGTTTTATACAGGTACGCACGAAAAGTTATTGGTCTCCAAAACAGTAAAAACACATGTAGGCAGCGCCCCCTACAAATAGGAGTCATATTAACACTTGTATTAACATCAAAATCAAATTTCTCATGTCAACACCCAATTTTCCTCCAAGTATTGATGTTACTTCAGAAATTATTTGGAAAAATTCAAAATAAAAATGAAACTTCTACACCCTGTATCTCCGAAACTAAGCATTTTAGGACATACATTTATACGAACTTTTTTGCTTATTTTTATCTGTAGAATATGCCGCTGAAGTTTCCGAAATGCAGTTCGGACCACCCTGATGTTGCTCAAAATTTAAATTGGTAAACCTTGATTAGTAATCTTCGTTGCAGTATAATTATTGTTTAATGACAACAGCGTATCTAAATTATGTTGTAGTCCCTCCC